CTCCGTGTAGAAGGTGAGAAACGCCTCCTCAGCCGCGCCGTCCGCCTCTCGCTCGCCCGGAGCCGCCATTTCTGGTACCACGTGACCCGCCGCGCGCCCTTTCCACCTGACCAGGACCGACTCCGAACGGGCACCGGCACGTGACCCACAACGTCTGCCTTTCCGGCGGGGAGAGTGAGGAGCCCAAGGCGGGTCTTAAAGGGCCAGTGCGCCGAGGTCAGGATGCATCTGGCCCAGCTCCATTTTCTGTGGTTCTACCCCATCCTCTCAGGCACAACAAAACAATTTTCTGATTTATTTTTCATTGCTTTTTGGAAAAAGGAATGTTTTCTACAAGGACTTATAGTCAGTTCCCTTCTTTCATTTTATCCTCTGCACCAGTGTTTCTCAACCTCATCAACTTTAAGCTGTGTGGACTTCAATTCCCAGAATTCCTCAGCCAGCATGCTGGCTGGGAAATTCTGGGAGTTGAAGTCCACATAGCTTAAAGTTGCTGAGGTTAAGAAATACTGCTCTGCACAATCCTGTAGAGTAGAGTAAGGCAGAGGTCAGTCTTAATCTGTGTTGACTTCAACTCCCAGAATTTAAAAATTTTAAATGTATAGTTTCTCACTATAATCGTCACTACAAACATTTTCAGTCTGCATTTTGCAGTCAAAACGGTGGTTTGTACAGTGCTCCTGCGGTATGACTGGAAACACGTTAGGCGTGTATTGACAGGAACAGGATCGACTTGCTAACAAAAAGACACCATCTGGCAAGCAGACCGCACAATCCTACATTTATTTATTTCTAACGGATGGAGAAAAATCTTTATCTTCGTTCAAAAAGCTCGGAAAGATTAAGATCCCCTAATGGGGAAAGAAAAAAAAAAACTCATTGGAAAATACTCATAGCTACTGATTAGTAAGTCTACAAGCTTACATTCTTCGATATTTGGATACAAAGTATCTTACATAAATTCCCACCCTTCTGGTTAACCCTGCACGTGTTCAGAAATAAATGCCAGGGAATTGCCCCGGATAAGCCAAGCGTAGGGGCAGATCCTTTTAGGTCTGGGCTCTCCATCGACAAACTTGCCTAGTGGAGTCCTTGGGGTTCTCTGAGCTTGGTCCTTTTCTTGCAAACGTTTCATTACCCGGCTAGGGAACATCTTCAGTGCTAAAATGGGATGGAGTTTGCTCTCTATTTATGTGCTGTGGCCTGCCTTGCCAGTAAGGGTGGGGGTTTTGTTTTGCTCCTCTGATAGTTCCCTGATTAGCATACGTTTACTTGCCTAGAGCAGCTTCCTGGGACGGCGGAAGTTCGGAATGTGAGCGACTCGCCTCTAGAGTTCCTGCGTGGCGCCGATTGGCCCAGGTTTTCCCTTCTCCTCCCCGATTGGCCTCCGCTTCACTTTGCCCCTCCTTTTCCTCTAGCAGCCAGGAAGGCTCTCCCACCCACCACCCACCCGCTTCCAAGGGCAGAGCTGAGATGGCTGCTGTCGGTGCGCTCTTCAGGTCTGGGCTGCGGGGCGCGATGGCTTTACCGCAGCGGCAGCGGGCCTGGAGCTCGGGCTCTGACCAGGTACCGTCGGCACCGGAGGCTCGGCTGCAGAGCCTTCGGTGCAGTAGGGCCCGTGGAGGGTCTCCGCTGACCGGGGGAGGCGGGCGGCTGTGAAGTGGTGCTGGAGGCAGGGACGGTGGCGTCTGATGCCTGCCTCCTTTTTTCCCTCCCTGAGCTGGGTGAGCTCGGCAAAGGTGCTGGAAAAGGCGGGGGAGGAGGCGGAACGATCCGCGAGGCTGGCGGCGCGTTTGGAAAGCGGGAAGCGGCTGCGGAGGAACGCTATTTCAAGTATGTTCTGCCCGAATGCGCACAGCCCACAGAGCGTTGAACCCGAGTTAGCGAGCAAGGTGCTCTACCCATGGAATGCCACGCCAGAACAAATAAATGAGATTAGGGTTGAACAGAGTAGCCTGGTTCACACATGCTGAAACAATGACTGGGGTCCCATTTTGTTTATTTATTTATTTTAT